TGTGGGAGAATATTTTTGGCAATGAAGGATTCATCTGATAAAAGGTTAATATACAAACTATATAAGGAACTCATAGATCTTAACAAAATGAACACAATCCAATAAAAAAATGAGCAAAGGACCTAAATAGACACTTCTCCAAAGTGGACATAGAGGCATATGAAAAAAATGCTCAAAGTCACTGATCATCAGAGAGATGCATATTAAAATGACAACGAGGTATCACCTCACACCTGTCAGAATGGCTACCATCAACCAATCAACAAATGACAAACAAATGCTGGTGAGGATGTGGAGAAAAGGGAACCCTAGTACACTGCTGATGAGAATGCAGACTGGTGCAGCCAATATATGGAATTGCCATATATTGGATTTGGAACTGCCAATATATGGATTTGACCCAGTGATCATACTTCTAGGAATATATGCACCCCTATGTTCATAGCGGCATTATTTACAACTAGTGAGTGGCCTGGTGTACAAAATTCATGCACATTAAAAGGGAATTAATTAGAGGAATACTTTAACATTGCTATTTGCCCTTTTTCTATAATAGAGGTGTTAGAGATGAATAAATGTATATGAAAATCCCCCTCCTTTCAGAATCTGGGGTGCGCTGCAGGACCCAGAATAAGGTCCTATGCCTCGAAGTTGTGCAAGAACCAGACCTGGCCAGGCCCATCCCCGTCAAGCCTGCAGGGTAGGGGGCGTAGCCTCAAGTCCTCCAGCCCAGTGCTGGGGTGGGAGGGCACAGCCTCTGGTCTCTTGTCAAGCCCCACCAGGTGATGGGTGCAGCTTTAGGTCCCCTGGCCCCTGTGCGAAGGCAGGAGGGCATGATGACCATTTGCATATTAGCCTTTTATTATATAAGATAGCTAAGATCTGGAAACAGCCCAAGTGCCCATCCATACATGAGTGGATAAAAAAGCGGTACATTTACACCATGGAATACTATGCAGCAGTAGAAAAGAAGAATCTCTTACCCTTTGAGCCAGCATGGAGGGACTTGGAGAGTATTATGATGAACAAAATAAGCCAGTCAGAGAAAGACAAGTATCACATGATCTCACTCATATGTGGAAGCTAAGTAACAAAATAAACTGATGAACAGAGTGGATCCAGAGTCATGGAAGCATGGGACACAGTGTGGAACCTCAGACAGAAGGTGGGGGAGATTGGGTGGGTGGGAAGTGATCAACCAAAGAACTTGTGTGTATGTGCGTGTATGTGTGTGCGTGTGCGTGTGTATATGCATGTGTGTGCATGCGTGTGTATGTGCGTGTGTGTTTGAGTGTGTGTGTGCGTGTGTGTGTGTGTGTGTGTGTGTACATATATGCATAACCCATAGACACAGACAATAGGGTGGTGAGGACCTGGGGGAGAGGGCAGGGGCCGGCTTATGGAGGTTGATGGGGAGAAAAGTATATGTAGTACTTTCAACAATATAGATGTTAAAAACGATTCCCAAACAAGAAATGACTACATATTTTGGTGGAAATTCTGGGCAATGACAATAAAATCTGTAGTATGTTAACAACAGAATGTAAAGGAAGAAATACCTAGTAAAAGGCATCAGTTCGAAAGTTGTAAACTCATTCATTTCTTTCTCTTTTAAAAAAAATATATTTTATTGATTTTGTACAGAGAGGAAAAGAGAGAGATAGAAACATCGATGAGAGAGAGTCATCGATCAGCCGCCTCTTGCACACCCCCCACTGGGGATATGCCCACAACCAAGGTCCATGCCCTTGACCGGAATCGAACCCGGGACCTTTCAATCCCCAAGCCGACGCTCTATCCATTGAGCCAAACCGGTCTCGGCCTCATTCATTTCTTATATCTAATCAATGTAACATTTTGATCTCTTCATTTAAAAAGAAACTATATTAAAGCAGGATATATATAATAAATTCATCTATTGCTTCCAAGCAAATCACCACAAACTTAGAGAGGATTAAAACAACACAAACTTATTTCACAGTTCTGTAGGTCAGAAGTCCAGTGGTCTTGGCTGGTTTCTCTCCTCCAGATTTCACAATGATGAAATAAAATCATTGATCATCTGGGAAAGACAGGGTAGGGGCAGGAGGGAGAAATTAAAAAGGGCACTAGGGAAATATTGGTAATGATGGATATGTTCACTATCTTGATTGTGGTGGTGGTTTCACAATGTACACGTATAGTCCAAAGTTGTCAAACTGTGTATTTATAAATATGTGGTATGTCAGTTATTGTGGGGGGGAGGGCGGGAAGATGTCTCAAATAAAAATTCCACACCCAACAGGCCAACCTTCCCACAGGCCAACCTTTTAGAAATGTATTATCTTAGGAATGCTATCCACAGAAAAGTTCAGCGAGCCAGAAGTAATTGCAAAAATTGAGGCAATGGAACCCATAATGAGCAGTGAATATATAACTACAGAATTGAAACTAAAACAAATATGAGGGTGCTCTTGTAGATTACATTATTGTTCCCAATTCTTTATTCTCTCAGAATCTATTCCTTTTGCAAATTCACTTTGCAGGTGGCTATCTGACTTGCTTTGGCCAATAGGATGTGCATGAAATGAGAGTTCAGAACTGCATTTACTCGTTCTTTCTGAGCTTCTTTCATCACAGTGAGAGGAACATGCCTTGACCAACCCATGGTCCAAAGAGAATGGCTGACAGGGGAGCAGAACTGGACCACCTTTCATTTTGAAATTAAATACATTTGAGCAAAGTTTATATTAATATCCTTCAGATATATGAGAGAGAATTAACGTTTTGTAGCGATTGTTATAGGATACACACATTATGATATATAAAATGTTGAAATTAATAATTAGCAAAAGTTGCCAAAACCGGTTTGGCTCAATGGATAGAACGTCTCTCATCGAGTTTCTAACTCTCTATCTCTCTCCCTTCCTCTCTGTTCAAAATCAATAAAATATATTAAAATAAATAAATAAATAAATAAATAAATAAATAAGGTCTCTGGGTTTAAAAAATAATAATAATAATTAGCAAAAGTTGGCTGCCGTGGCTGGTTTGGCTCAGTGGATAGAGAGTTGGCCTGCGGACTGAGAGGTCCCGGGTTCGATTCCGGTCAAGGGCATGTATCTTGGTTGCAGGCACATCCCCAGTAGGGGGTGTGCGAGAGGCAGCTGATGGATGATTCTCTCTCATCGATGTTTCTAATTCTCTATCCCTCTCTTTTCCTCTCTGTAAAAAATCAATAAAATATATATATATATATTTTAAAAAGTTGCTTGTGGTGGGGAAAAGGGAGAAAAGAAAGAGACCGGGCAAGATATGCTAACGATCAAAACAAAACAAAAACAAAAAACCAACAGGATATGCTATCTTATGTAAAGTCATCAAATTTATATTAAGTTGATGAATCAAGTTACAGATATACAACTTTATCTAAAAGTACAAAAGTAAATATTAAGAGAGTATGATCAACTAAAAAAAAGTAGGTAGCTGAGGGAAAGGTAAAAGAAGAGGACTTATACTAATTTCATTATTGCTCCTTTCTGGGCATTAAAAGAAACTGTCTAAAGAAATAAAGGTTAGCCCTAGCCAGTTTGGCTCAGTGGCTAACGCATTGGCCTGGGGACTGAAGGATCCCAGGTTCAATTCCAGTCAAGGGCATGTACCTGGGTTGTAGGCTCCATCCCTGATTGTGGTTATTATCTTATGTATTATCTTAGGAATACTATCCTCCATCCCTTGTAGGAGGCAACCAATGTGTCTCTCTCACATCGATGTTTCTCTCTCTCTGTCTCTCCCCCTCCCTTCCACTCTCTCTAAAACTCAATGGAAAAATATCCTCTGGTGAGGATTAATAAAAAACAAAACATTAGCCCTAATCAGTTTCTCAGTGGTTAGAACATAGTCCTGGACTGAAAGGTCCTGAGTTTGATTCTGGTCAAGAGTATGTACCTGTTGCCCTAGCTGGTTTGGCTCATTGGACAGTGTCGCCGCCGGACTGAAGGGTCCCAGGGAAGGGCACATGCCCAGGTTGTGGGATCCATCCCTAGTAGTGGGTGTGTTTCTCTCTCATCATTGATGTTCTCTCTCTCTCTTCTTCTCCCTCTCCCTTCCTCTCTCAAATAAATAAATAAACAAACATATTAAGAGCATGTACCTGGGTTGCAAGCTCTATCCCTAGCTCGAGTCAGGGCACGTGTGGGAGACAGTCAATGTCTCTCTCACATTGATGTTTCTCTCTCTCTCTGTCCCCTCTCTTCCATTCTCTCTAAAAAAATTTTAAAAAATCAATGGTGAGGATTAACAAAAAACAAAAAAGGGAAGAGAAATTAAAACAATTATGCAAATATATAGAGATAAAGGCACATCGCTAAACAAATTTTAAAAATCTCATATTTTAGGATGAAATACGTTGTAAAACAATGATCGCGTGTAACGTTTGTAATCAAAACTCTTGAAACTCTTTAACAACTAGAAGTGTAGTCTGCCTGACACAGCTTTAATTCAGGTGCACGGCAGGGAGGCGCCGGGGCCTTTTCCTCCTGTGTCAGCGGCATCACCCGTGACAGGAGTGAGGTCTTGCCGACACCGGAAAGGAAATAAAAGCTCCGGGGAGGCTACAACAATGTGGATCCCGGGGGCGTGGGAGACGTGGGTGCCAGCACGTGAGCACCTCGCACTTCCTCATTGCACACTGCCACCCCATCCCGGCTCCGGCCGCATTCCTCGCCCGTCGGGCGGCCCGTGCAAATGACACGCAGGAACGCATTCCCGGCGCGCGCGTCAGCGTGCCTCCCGCGTCCCCACGTCGGGAGTCCGCCGGGCACGCCCCGCCCCGCCCCGCCCCGCCCGCCTCGCCCTCCTGGTGGTGTTGTCGTCACGTGGCCGGGGCGGGCTCTGACGTCAGGGCGGGGCGGGACTGCGCAGGCGCGGAAAAGGGGGCGGGGGACTCGGCTTGTTGTGTTGCTGTCCGAGAGCGCCGGAGGCAGTCCCGCCGCGGCCGCCGCTCCTCCAGCCGCCCGACCATGTCGTCTCACTTAGTAGAGCAGCCACCGCCCCTGCACAACAACAACAACAACTGCGAGGAAGGGGAGTCGCCGGTGCCCCCGCCAGCCGGCCTCAACAGTAAGCGCCGGGCAGGCGGGCGGGCTGCCTGAGGCGATGGGGGAGGAGGAGCCCCGCCGGCCCGCGGCCGGCTCCGCGCGGGGGGCGGGAGGAGAAGGCAGCCCATTGGTCCAGGTCGGGTCTGTGCGGGTGACTGACAGCTCCCGTCACCTGTCAGGATGAGATGCTCCTGCCTGCCTCTGGACCGGTCTCCCCTCTTTTCCTGGGGTCTCGGGGTCGGGGCTGCTTGGGGTTCGCTGTTGGGAAGGGCGAGGGGCGGGAAGAGTGGGGGTACGTGCCGGTCCCACCTGTGGTGGCCCCTGAGCGGAACCTATGGCGGGGGGGCGGGGGCATGGAGGCGGGCCTTGGGCGGCGGGGCGGTGGGCGGAGCGCTCCGGGCGGCGGGGGGACGTGGGCCGGGATGGGGACGTGCGGCGGGGCCGCCGCGGGATGGACGCGCGCCGCCGGCGAGCGGAGGGGAGGGGGCGCCGCGGGGCGGTGAGAAGCGGGCTGTGCCGCGGGCCTCGGCCCGGGGACCCAGTCCCGGGGACCCCGCCGCGCCGGGTCGGCCTGCGGCCGGGCCGGGGAACGTGAGCCCTCTGGTTGCGTTCCTTTGTTACCACAGGCGGGTTAGGAAAACCATTTAGTAATTCAGTGGTTACTTGTATCACGTTGCGGGGGGTGGGGGTGGAGGGGGGAGCGATGCTACTTTTTTTTTTTTTTTTTGAGCTGTTTCAGAGTTGCTCAAATGATTTTTTTAAAAAACCATTTAGAGTTGTGTGCCCTATAAACCTGTTTGTGAACAAACACCCTCTGGAACCATACAAGATTGCACAAATCACGGAGTCTGGGGCAATGGATTCTCAGAAACGGTTAAAAACAGATGCACACACAGGGGCGGTTGGAAGTGAATGGCAGTCTTGAATTAGGACCAACTACAGTTGCTTTTCGTGCCATTCTGGGGCTTAGACATCTTGAACTAAGGGTATTATTTCCAGGTGTTCTTTAAAGCTTCAGGGTCTTGGAAGGCTTTTGCCTGATCTTTCTGTAATTTCTTTCATGAAAGAGGTGGCTGGGACAGTTAGCATATGCCGGATGAGATTGTTTAAGAGCCACTTGGATGCTTAAGTGACATTTAAAAGCATTGCAGTATCTTTCATAAGAGGGCGGTGTACCAGTATGGCCTAAAAATTATTTTAGGGAAGAGAGTTCCTGTCCTCCCAAGATGGGGAGAGAATTTGAGTATTTTAAGATGTTTTTATTGCTTATTGCTGCCGCTTCATCTTTTTACGGATACATTCCTTAAATGTTGACTTTTAAAAAATGTTTAACTGTCTTATGGTCTGGAATATACGACATATATCATTTCCTACAGTAAGTTAGTATTAATTTAAGACTCCGTAAGTGTAATTTGCTTTACATATTAATAAGCATTTTATAATTATTTACCTGGTGTTTAGCTTACTCTTAGAAAGAAGCATGGGATTTTAGAACGGGAAGAGGTTTTATTTTTATTTTTAAATTTGTCTTTTTCTTTTATTTATTGTTTAATCTTTATTGTTGAAAGTATTACAGATGATTACACTGTTGTCTGTGTCCATGAATGCATATAAATTCTTTGGTTAATCTCTCCCCACCCACCCCCTAAAAGTTTTGTTTTTCAATTACAATTTACATTTAATATTATTTTGTATTAGTGTCAGGTTTACAGTATAGGAGTTAACAATCATATACTTTACTAAGTGTGGGGAGGAAACTTGAGAGGTAACTGTCATTTGTTATTTCCTAGGAAAGAAATCTATCTAGACTCAGTCAGGTGTGTTGTCCCAGTTCACACCCGGCTTGGGCCTAGAGCGGAAGTTTTTACTTTCATCCCATCTAGTGCTCTTTTCAGGGCACTTCTTTTCAGTGGCCAGAGGGTGTGCTTCTTACTCTCTCAGTATGTTACTCCGTCTGATTTAGTGTACAGAGGTGACCTGGCCATCTTACCTCTTTTTAGTGTCCGTGTTTTTAGTTGTATTCTGTTTTCCTATAATGCCCTTAAGTTAGCTATTTGGCAAATATGTGTACATGATTTCGCAGAAAGCAAGGGAATTGTAATTTTCCTTTGACCATTTAACAAAAATAAAAAGATAAAAATGGTGCTGAGTTATATGTGATTGTTTATCTCTGTGTCTGACAGACCTATGAGATATTTGAGGATGTTGGCCAAGCAGCTGCTGCCACGTTTATGTTAGCTGTTAGGAAATGGAAGAACACTCAGCCTGTGTATGATGTCAGAATGTTGCGTTGGAAAAGCTGCTGGGTGGGAAGCATTTTGTTGGGGGAAGGGTGAGCTTTTAAATTACTGAAAAGCTTTCCAGCAGTGCCATATTTCATTACTCCCCTCTTGCCTTTTACTCTGTTTTTTTAGCTCATTATACAGAACTGGACGGAGCAAAACAAGAAGCCTTATTGAGTCCTGCAAATGATTTTTGGGCACTGGGCAAAGCAACTTATCCAGGCATTTAATATGCACTATTCAAATCGCTGATAAGTTGAAGTTCTTTGTCGGGTAAAATTGCACAACTATGAAAAACAGGACATGAACTCATGGTACAGATTATCTCTGGCTTGGGATTTTATCTTTAGTTCAGGGGATCAAAGCAGAGTTTTAATAGCAAATTGTTGAAATACCAGAGGCCCAGTGCACTGGTAGGGTCCCTAGTGGCTGCGGACTGGGCCTCCCTCCCTTCCACTGGCTGGCCCCGCTCTCTGGTCAAACTCCTGGACAACTCCAGATTGAGGGGATAATTTGCATACTATGCTTTTATTATAGAGGATTTGAAACAATGAAACATTTCTCTGATATATATTTTTTAATTTACCACTATAGGAAGACTGTTCACTTTCATTACATATTAGTGGACAAATATCTGAACAGTTTTCAAAGTTAAAAGATTCTTTTCCAGATTCCAGTTGTTAGTTTTATTCTTTTTTTTTTTTTTTTTTTAATATATTTTATTGATTTTCTTACAGAGAGGAAGGGAGAGAGATAGAGAGCTAGAAACATCGATGAGAGAGAAACATCGACCAGCTGCCTCTTGCACACCCCCCACGGGGATGTGCCCGCAACCAAGGTACATGCCCTTGACTGGAATCGAACCTGGGACCTTTCAGTCCGCAGACTGACGCTCTACCGCTGAGCCAAACCGGTTTCGGCTATTCTTAAGAAAACTACTAAATTACTTAATATTTGTATAGGGCACATATCTCATAAAAATTAGGAAGTAATAAAAGGAAAATCCAGCCCTGCTGGTTTGGCTTAGTGGATAGAGCATTGTCCTGTGGACTGAAGGTCCAGGTCTGATTCTGGTCATGAAGCGTGTGCCTGGGTTTTGGGCTCGATTCCCAGTAAGGGGTGTGCAGGAGACATTCGATCTGTGGTTCTCTCTCCATGTTTCTGTCTCTCTTTCCCTCTCACTTCCTCTCTGAAATCAATAAAGTTTTTTTGTTTTTTTTAAAAGGAAAATCGAGATAGCAGTATAATTCTTATTGTTTAATGTAGAAAGTACAGCCCCCCACCCCCACCCCCACCCCCTTTTTTTTTTTTTTTTTTTAACATTTTTAGCCATGATGTTCTGGTTCCCCGATATTGCAAGAAAGCTTTGTGAAACTTCACTGCCTCCTAATACCGTTTTTAAACACATAAGTAACTAGTATGTAAGTACCTCCTTACATTGTAGTTATTGACTTTCTGTTTCATAAGAATGTCAGTGACTATTCATGGTCTGAATTCTAGCATCAGGTACTTGAAATAAAATAAAAGCTTGAAGGAAAGAGAATAAGACATAATGAAATGGATCACCTTTGTTTAGGATCAGAGTGACATGTGGAGCCTTGAAAACTTGAGGGAAAATTTAGAAATAATACTCTTCTTCCTTCTCTCTCCTCTTCCTCACCCCTAACTCTTCCACTTCCCTCTTGTGTGAGGATTAAACTGGTGATTTTATTTACTTTTTTTTCCGGTGATTTTAAATTATCTATCTACTACCCTGTTTCCCCGAAAATAAGACAGTGTCTTATATTAATTTTTGCTCCCAAAGATGCGCTAGGTCTTATTTTCAGGGGATGTCTTATTTTTCCATGAAGAAGAATACGGTACACATTTATTGTTAAATGAAAATAAAGGAAATTTATTACCTGTATACGGTACGGTAGTATGGTAGTTGTCAACACAAACCAGACAAACTGTGAATCCTACAGTATCAAGAATTTACTCATTTATTCAATGACAATCATGTCATCATCTTCTGGAACATCATCATAACAATCCAATTCCTGAATTTCCTGGTGAATTTCTTGTGACTCCATTTCTTTCAGAATCAGTGGACCAAATCTCTCATGTTTAGCAATAGCATTCTGAGACAGAGCCTGGGGGGCCCTTATTTTTTGGGGGATGCCTTATATTTCACTCAGAAGGAAACCTCTAAGTAGGTCTTATTTTCAGAGGATGTCTTGTTTTCGGGGAAACACGGTATCTATCTATGGTTAGTATGCTAAGTATTCGTCTGACTAGTAGCTATGACCACTGGGGGCAGATGCTCACCACAGGAGCTGCCATGATGCTCACTGGCCATTTACAGAGAAATGGCACTGTGGACCTGTCACCCACAGCAACACTTGGCTTCCCCTCAGTGGGTCACAGACCCCGCCACCACCTTGGAGCTACACCCCACCAATTGTAGCCGACGCTGCTGAGATCCCCAAATGTTTGAAGCGTTTTCCCGTGCCTCACCTCATTTGATCCTCACAGAAGTCCTGCAGTAGGTAGATAGGAGACTCGGTGGAAAACCGAGACTTAGAAACTTGACCCAACTGGAAAGAAGTTAGAAATGGTGGACCTTGAAAATGACCTCAGGATTTCTCACTGTGCAGTTAAATATTTTACCCTTTTTTTCTACCTGTGTGATCTACAATAATAACCAGCTCCGTGTTGATATTTACTGCTGTGTTGCTGACAATTACCTGAAAGAGAACTTGGGGTGCTTCACTGAGCTGGCAAAAGTTTAGCTAAACCAAAAATCAGGTCTAATTATGCAAGTTTATTCTATATTTATAAAAGGTTAAGTTGATTTGCACATGCATGATAATTTAAAGCTCTCACTGGCACCAATCACACACATGTGTTTTGATCTGTCATTATTGATCGTGAATTTGGTTGACATTTCTATTATAGAGAAAGAGCGAACAGCAATCTCCGTGTGTGTGTGTGTGTGTGTGTGTGTGTGTGTGTGTGTAGCCCCTGACCACCGACCAGGCCTAGGGATCCTACCCATGTACAAGTTTCGTGTACCGGGCTTCTAGTATTAAAATATTTCTTCTAATTAATTTTCTTTCCACGTGCTTGGATTTGTGCACTGGGCCACTAGTAAAACTATAAAGAATATATACAGCATACAGTTGTGAATGTAATCACAATAACTGGACCCACCTTCACAATGTATTGTATTAGAGAATGTAGAAGCATGCTTCTCCGAATCTCTTAGCCATTCTTAAGAACTTAAAATAGAAAAAACCCAATGTATTGTGTATAAGTACAATCTGGCATAAAGGAACAGTTTTCAATTTGTAAGTAGGCTTTTAATGTAACAGAGCCTGCAGTTTTTAATTTTAAAAATTATTAGGAAGATAATTCACTCAGATTTTTTTCTGCTTTCTATTTCTTGGACAGCACAGTCCTCATATCTTGCCTTGTTTCCTGTCTAAGTAAAAAGGGATTTAGGATTGGTAGAGTTAGAACATAAAGAAATTTTGAGCTGTAAATCAGGAATAAACGAGATGATAAGAAAAAGACGTGTAGTTAGAAAGATAAATTTGCTTTTTCTCCATTTTTCTCAAATGATGAAGCTGATATGTATCCTCATAATATCTGTGTGAATAATTTTCTCTGCAGTACTGTTTTTGTTTTGTTTTGTTTTTCAATAGAAATTTCTGGAAGAGAATTATTGAGTTAAAGGAAATCTACCATTTTAAGGCCCTTAATATATATTGTCAGATTACCCTCCATGAAGCCTTGGTTTTAATTATATTGGAAACAGTACTTTGGGTAATGGTTGTCCATTGCCATTTATGATGGGATGCAAAGGAGTTGTTTAAAAGAATTAAGTAAAGCCCTAACCTGTTTGGCTCAGTGGAAAGTCGGCCTGCAGACTGAGGGGTCCCAGGTTCGATTCCTGTCAAGGGCATGTACCTTGGTTGCAGGCACATTCCCAGTGGGAGGTGTGAAGGAGACAGTGATCGATGTTTTTAGCTCTATATCCTTCTCCCTTCCTCTCTATAAAAAAATCAATAAAATATATTTTTTTAAAAAGAATGAAGTAAGGTAATATACATTGACATTGAAAGACATCTGCAAGTTGTTAGGTAACAAATGCTACTTATAGAAAAATGAATGTATGATTCCATATTTAAAATTATGGAAGTTTACATAGGAAAGTTTTAAAACTGGTTTCCTTTGTGATAAAGGAATGTGAGATTGGGATGAGAGGTAATTTTTTTATGTACTGATGTTTGCATTTTCAAAAACATTTTTGTAATATTTTTTAAAAGATAAAGTATAGCTGAAACCGGTTTGGCTCAGTGGATAGAGCGTCAGCCTGCGGCCTGAAAGGTCCCAGGTTTAATTCTGGTCAAGGGCTTGTACCCAGTAGCGGGTGTGCAGGAGGCAGCTGATTGATGTTTCTCTCTCATAGATGTTTCTAGCTCTCTATCCCTTTCCCTTCCTCTCTATAAAAAAATTAATAAAATATATTTTTTAAAAAGATAAAGTATAATTGTAATATTACCTAACACTATGTATTAGTAACCTTTCCTACTTTTAATGCCTTTTACTCATTTCATCCTCCTAATGATATTATGAGGTAGATACAATTATTGTCCCTGTTTTACAGATGAGAAAACTGGCAAGTGTAGAATATAATAGCTATACTATCGATAGTAAGTGATACAGTTGGGAGTCTGGCTTCAGTCTGTGCTCTTAACTGCTGTACTAATAATATATGTCAAGGAAATACTGTCTTAAGTAGAAATGCTTTCAGTTATGATGAGGGTTACGGCAGAGATTACTTTTACTAAGTTTTTCTAGGTATTTCTCCCCAAGTTCCTAGATTATGATTGCTTACATATTATTAATATATAAGAATTTTTTAAAATATATTTTATTGATTTTTAACAGAGAGGAAGGGAGAGGGATAGATAGCTAGACACATCTATGAGAGAGAAACATCGACCAGCTGCCTCTTGCACACCCCCTACTGGGTATGTGCCCACAACCAAGGTACATGCCCTTGACCAGAATCGAACTTGGGACCTTTCAGTCCGCAGATCGACGCTCTACCACTGAGCCAAACTGGCTTTGGCAATATATAAGGATTTTTAATATGGAAGAAGAATTTAGACATTGGTGTGGAAGTCCTTCAAAAAAGTAAGGAACAGAAAATCTGTTATTGTTACACCCTTTTTTCTCTTTCATTAGCTACTTCAAGTGAACATTAATTATATTTTAGGGAACACTGGCTTCCACAGAGACTCATCTGGAACTCCTGGTTATTTAGTTCTGATTCTGCCAGAGTAACCCTGGCCTTTTATTTGTTTTTGCTAATTGTACACATTGGGCTTCTGTACAAGAACTGGTTCTAAAATAAGTTTGAAAATCTCAAACCGTGAAAGCAGGAAAAAAAAAAACCCACAAAAAGCAACCAACAATTGATATCATATACCTCTCTTTCCCTGCCTATTTCCAGTTAAAATATTTTGCCTCGCTCTAAATTTAGGGATGCATTTGACATATTTCTTAACTCCGGAGGCACTCCAAATATTTAAATATTCAGTGTTAAATCTGCCTTTGCTTTGCTAGTTGAATTTGTTAACCCATGTCGAGTTCTATCTAGTCTGTGTACATTTTTGTGTGCACATAGAATAAGGCCATAGAGACGCTATGTAGCTGTGTTGTTTGGCAGTACAGTCCCAAAGAATTAGTAATAACTGTGGAACTGTGACATCCCTAAGACTGCTTCAGAGGGAAAGGAAAGAAAAGATCCCTTCTTTTTATTTACCAAACATTGTTCTAAGTAATTTACAAATATAAACTTTTATTTATTGATTTGAGATAGAAACATTGATATGTTGTTCCACTTATTTATGCATTCAATGGTTGATTCTTGTATGTGTCCTGACCAGGATCGAACCCATAAGCTTGGCGTATAGGGATGACTAAGCTACCAGGCTAGGGACGAATATAAACTCTTAACTAGTGTGTAACTGAGCAGCTGCTGTTTAGTAGACACTTTACCTATCTATAATAATGAAAGTGTAATATGCTGATTAGATCGTCTGACCTTCTGGATGAAGCCGGGACTGGGAAGCCCAGGTCTAGAGTGCCAGAGGGAAGCCGGTGCTGGCAGTCAGAGGAAGGAAGGCTTGCTCTTGCACAAATTTCATGCTTCGGGCCTCTAGTGCTCCTATATTTAATCATCACAGTAGCCCAGGGAGGTAGGTACTTATCACCTCTGTTTTACAAATGAGGAAATTCAAAGCCAGAAAGTCAGATGCTAGTAGATAGTAAGAGGTGGAGTCATATTTCCAACCCAGTATGCCTTTGAGCTTTCCCTTCACATCAGGATGATGCTGAGCTCACTTCTAGATCTGGAATAGTCCTCACCTCATTTTGAGTGCCTTTAGGGTTTGAACTTTATTGGAGTGATTATTCTGATTTGCTGATGGAATACTGTTTAGCCACAGAACTCTGTTTAATGCTTTTGCTGAGAGTTTAGAGCAATGGCTCCATCAAAACAAAATTTATTGTAAGGAATAGAAATTACGGAAGGAAAAATACATTATCTCTTTTTTTTGTGAAGTTGGCTTATTGGCTACTATTGTCAGTTCTTGTTAAAATAAAAACACCTTCATGTGTTCAGCAAACTGATTAAGCAATAAATATTTTTTAGACCTATCTACATTACCAAGGCCACATCCCCTTTTCTGTGGCTCCACCCCCTTCGAATGTTCCTGAGAAAACTCAGTGTTGCCTGTAGCAGATGAACAGTTATTTCTCCCCCAACCAGTGAGGCTTAATGAAAAATCTAGGAGGTAATAACTCTCGCGAGAGAAGAGAGAAGAGACAAGTTCTTACAAGGTATGTTTAGCGCATAAAGGAGAAAGAACAGAAGGTATGAGATATAAAGGAAAAAAGAAACTAGTTTGTGGGATAGAGGTGCAGCCTTTTTTTTTCTCTTCAGATTTTGTTAGTACCGTCACCTGATTTAGTTGAGAGCCAGCTGCATTAATTTTGTGCTCCAGATCTGTACACAATTTGAGATTTTTATGATTGCATTTAAGTTGCTTCTCTAGGAGCTTCTCAATTGTTTGTGCTAATAAGGACACAGTTGTTAACTTACTTACTAGATGATCTTTATGAAACTGTCATATATTGATGTTATTTGTGGAGAGGAAACAACTAAATAGCTGAGGTAGACTATGGAAAAAACGTAAACTAAAATATTAAAGGTAAATAGCCTGTCTAGCGATAAAGTAGCTATTTTTTGAAAAGCAAACTAAAAATTTCCAATCGTGTTTATTGTATATAAATTAAGCTTTAACCAGAAAGAAAATCGGCTGAAGGACACATTTACTAGTTTAGAGTTCAACTTTTTCTAATTTGGTTGATTGCGTGAGCTGCTTCAGGAACATAACTATATAGATTTGTAACTTTTATTGCTTCTTGTTTAGCTGTCTCAGGATATGTTTTGCATTTGGTTTGAGGCGAATAAGACTTCTTATCTGAATTCACCATGTTCACATCTGTGTGCACATGACAGATTTCAGTTCTGCTGTGCTTAACAAGTTATCTGACTTGTCCAACAGGTTCCTGGGTGGAGTTACCCATGAACAGCAGCAATGGTAATGATAATGGCAATGGGAAAAATGGGGGACTGGAGCACGTCCCTTCCTCATCCTCTATCCACAATGGAGACATGGAGAAGATTCTTTTGGATGCACAACATGAATCAGGACAGAGTAGTTCAAGAGGCAGTTCTCATTGTGACAGGTAAGTGAGATCCATGTTTTGGTAGAATTCAGAAAACAGATGGGTTACAGGTTAATTCCCATTAGGAAAAATAAATGAGAAAATATGACAGCCGATTTGATTTATCACAGCATGTGTATTTAAAACCAGACAGATAATTGACAAGTACTTGAGTACCCATTGTTTCCCCCATATTAAGGCAATTTTCTTATCAGACTGTATCATATTCAGATGATTATCATTTTAAAAGTCAGTGGCATACTCCTGGCCAGTGTGGCTCAATTGGTTGGGCAGCGTCCCATGTACTGAGGGGTTGCCAGTTCGATTCCCGGTGAAGACTTGTGCCTGGGTTGTGGGCTTGATCCTTGGGATTTGGAGGATGGGGGGGGGGGATGCAGGAGGTGGCTGATTGATGTTTCTCTCTCTCTTTCTCTTCCTCTCTGCCTCTCCCCCCCTCTCTCTCTCTTCACCTTTCCATCTCTTCTCTTCCCCTTTCTTCTTCTCTCTCTGGAAATCAATAATTAAAAAAAAAATTTTTTTTAAAGTCAATGGCATAAATGTTTACTTATAAAATTAATCTAACTTTCTCCCATTTTCTTTTATCTTTTGTGTCCCTGTTTCACAGATCACATTCTGCCTTGACTATAGTTATCTCTGTATATATCTGTCCTCCTTTCTAGATTGTGAGGCTCCGAAAGGCTGGGGTTGTGTTTCATCTCCTTTGTACTCTCAGTGATGGTGCTGGCATGTAGTACACACTCAGTAAATGTTTGCGTCACAGGAACTGCAAGTTGGTTCAAGTTAGAACAGTATTTGTATGGTGGAAGCACCGACCAAATCTGTAAAAACAGTTCATTTTTTATCTGAGGAAGTTATATTTTAGACCTCATTTTTCTCTAAGTTAGAGAAACTAATTCCACTGATTAAGGATTTTTTATGGTGAAACAATAAAAATATAGAGGAATGTATGTGTAGAATGAAACTGAGCTGTTTATTTTCAGTATAAGCATCTGTTTTTCAGAGGAACTAGATATTCAATGACACACTGGTATCATTTAACAATTCTTAGACCAGTGACAGTCATACTTCTAGTACTATGGGCTTCTGGATGATCTTCTGATTAATTCACTGGTATCAGCCATGTAGAAAATGCAAATGCCCAGAAAAAGATTAAAGGGACATTTAAAAATGTAAACAGTGGTCCCTAGCTGGATAATTCAGTTTGTTAAAGGGTTGTCCTGATACGCTGAGTTTGCGGGTTCAATCCCTAGTCAGGGCACTTACAAGAATCACCAATGAATGCATAAATAGAACAAGTCCAACAACAAATCAATGTTTCTCTCTCTCTCTTTCCTGGTCTCTCTTCTCTCTTTCTCTCCAAAAAGAAAAATTAAAAATTAAAAAATATATAAGCAGTGATTATCTTTAAGAGATGGAATTACAGATTTTTCTTCTTTTAAATTTATTTGTACTTTGTAAAAATTGTGTGTGTAGCACGTAGTATTAATTTAAAAAATATATATAAAAGGATTAACTGAGGTAAATCGTGTTTTGAAGTTCCTGGGTGTCTGATGATCCACTGATGTTATCAAGGCAGCAGAGGATTGGTTTGCTGTCTCTGTGGCACAGTGTGCACCCCCACCACCCCATCTCTTCTCTGACTTACTCCTGTGCTTTTAAAGAGCCTGGGATGGCTCCGGTCAAGAAACAGAAGGAAAGCAGATAGCTCTTTTCTGAGCAGCTTGCCTTTGATTCCAATCATGACAGCATTAGTGTGTCTTTCAGAATGAAGTTTATATTGTACAGGCATATTTCAGATCATCGCAATAAAGCTACTATCTCAATAAAGCCAATCGTACTAGTAATCCTTGTGGTGGTGGAGGGTCTAGTCTTCAATTTGTAAAATACACAACATTGTAAAATGCAGTAGAGCAAAGTACAATAAAACGTAGCACAAAAAAAAGAAAATGAAGGTATTACATGCATATCATGGGACTCCCTGATAGTTTCTGTAGTTTCCTGCTTATTATGGCCCTTTTGATAGGCTTTCAGTATCCATTCAAGTAGGTGACCCTTGATCATTGGCACCAGTGTGTTCCTTCATCTGTTGTTCACTGTGCTGTCATTGAGCAGAAAGCAAGTCATCTGCTTGCCTCTCTGGTCATATTATTTCATTTACTAGAGGCCCGGTGCATGAAATTTGTGCATGGGTAGAGTCCCTAGGCCTGGCCGGTGACCGGGGCCGATCTGCAGGGTGACTGGTGGCACGATTGGGAGGCCCCCACCAGCACCTACCTTGGCTGGCCTGGTACTGTCTGCTAGCTGGCCCAGCCCCCCACTGCCACCGCCAGTCACTTCCCTCTGCGGGATGACTGCGGGGCAGTCGGGGCTCCCACTGGCACCCACCTTGCCTGGCCTGGTGCTGCTGGCTTGCTGACTCTGCCCCCTGCCACCACCGCTGGGGGCAGTTCCTGCGTTGACCGTCTGTCTCCTAGTGGTCAGTATGCATCATAGCAAACGGTCATTCTGCCCATCATTCTGCTGGTCAGTCGATTTGCATATTAGGCTTTTATTATATAGAATGGTTGCAGTTATGCTTGTGATTGAATATGAAGTCACCTTTGCATGATTATGTTTCAGTTAGATTTCTAAACATCTGAAGTGAGTGGTGGCAAATGCTTTTTAACACTTTCCTGTCCCTCAGCTATGTATCTCCAGGCTCTGGATTACTGGCCATCTTTCAGAGGAGGCCTGGAACTCTAGCTCAGTAATACTTTTGGGATATCTGACTAACACCCTTTAACATTTAAAAGAGTCTTCATAATTCATGTCATTTGAATTGTCATGCATCTCTATTTGAAGTTGTTAAGAAGTATTTATTGTAGGTGGAAAAGTTTTAGGATCAATTCTGAAAGCCTATCAAAAGGGCCATAATAAGCAGGAAACTATCAGGGAGTTCTATGGTATGCATTTAATATCTTTATTTTCTTTTTTGTGCTATGTTTTATTGCACTTTGTTTTACTGCATTTTACAATGTTGTGTATTTTACAAATTGAAGACTAGACCCTCCACCAGTACAAGGATTACTAGTACAACTGGCTTTAGGATTTAACATTTAGGATTTAGCATTTCTGGGTATTGGTACCAAAGCTAGTTTATATATACTTTCAGTTTAAAAATGATTCCACATAGATATATTTTTGTCACTGTGGTGGCTGTTAGAAGATAACCGCTATGTGTTTTGTTTGTTCCACCCTGTTGGAGTTTTCAACCTACATGCTAGAGTCACCCAGGGAGCTTTTATTTTATTTTTTTTATTTTTTAAAATGTATTTTTATTGATTTTTTACAGAGAGGAAGGGGGAGGGATAGAGAGTTAGAAATATCGATGAGAGAGAAAAACATCAATCAGCTGCCTCCTGCACACCCCCTCCTGGGGATGTGAATCCAGGGAGCTTTTAAAAATACCAGTGCACAGCCCTGGAGGTTCTCATCTTGTTGTCAGGGTGGGTAGAGACATGAGAATATATTAAAATCTCTCCAGCTACTCTTTACAGGAGCCAGGATTGAAGCTCTAATGCATTCCAAATGGTAAGGAGTAGTAAGCAGCTCACCAGTGAAATGTTTAAATTTTTTGAGTGAGATGGGTGCCAACGGTAAAGAAGAGCGTGGGAGTAGAGCAGGACTTCTGATTGGTCATGCGCCTGCCTTCACCTGGTCTTGGCAGTGTAAAGCTGGCCCTTCACTTTAGGGCTTTTGTCTGTGAACCCAACAGTTATGAGCATGACAATAACTGGGAACCACAAGAGCACCTTGCTCTACTTAGTTTCTTTGCCATAGTCTGAGGTTTCTAGTTCAAGGCAAACATTTCTAAATACATTAATATGTTTGTTTGATACAGAAGCAGCTTTTTTCTTATCTTCACTTAAGAATCTCCTTTAGGCTTAATCAGTCTAGTATATTTCCGGTGATCTTACTTATTTTTGAGTCAATCTAATCAGCAACTCTATATATTAACACTGTACACAAGCTCATGACAACTTTAATAGTTAATATTTATTCCTTTGAGCAAGTTAAGCCCAAAGCATTTTAAAAAATAACTCTCTATTGTTCAGATTATTACAGTTGTTCCTCTTTTTCCCCCCCATAGCTCCCCTCCACCTGGTTCCCATCTTATCCCTTGCTCTTATCTCCCCCTCCCCCCCACTGTCCTCGTCCATAGGTGTACGATTTTTGTCCAGTCTCTTCCCACACCCTCATACTCCTTTTCCCCTGAGAATTGTCAGTTCACTCCCTTTCTATGTTCCTGATTCTTTTTTTTCTTTCATTTTTTTAATTAAGATATTATATGTGTACATATCTTACCATTGCCCCCCCCCACACACACACACACACTCCCATACATGCCCTCCCTCCCCAGAGTATTTCATCCATTGGTTATGCTTATATGCATGCATACAAGTCCTTCAGTTGATCTCTTATCTCCCCCATATCTCCCTACCCTCCTCCTATCTTGTCTCTATATCTATCTTTTTGTTCATCAGTTTATAATGTTCTTTATTTTCCATAAATGAGTGAGATCATGTTGTGTTTTCTTTCATTGACTGGCTTATTTCACTCAGCATAATGTTCTCCTATTCCATCCAGGTTGCTGCAAATGATAAGAATTCCTTTCTCATGGCAGCATAATATTCCATTGTGTAGATATACCACGGTTTTTAATCCAATCATCTGCTGATGGGCATCTAGGCTGTTTCCAAATCCTAGCTATTGTAAATTGTGCTGCTATGAACATAGGGTGCATATATCCTTTCTGATCGGTGTTTCTAGTTTCTTGGGATATAATCCTAGGAGTGGGATTACTGGGTCAAATGGGAGTTCCATTTTCAGTTTTTTGAGTGAACTCCATACTGTTCTCCACAGTGGTTGCACCAGTCTTCATTCCCACCAGCAGTGCACGAGGGTTCCTTTTTCTCTGCAACCTCGCCAACACTTGTCGTTTGTTGATTTGTTGATGTTAGCCATTCTGACAGGTGTGAGATGGTACCGCATTGTCCTTTTGATTTTCATCTCTCGCCCCTGATTCTATTATATTCCTCAGTTTATTCTGTTCATCAGATTTTTTATTCATTTGATATTTAGATTCACTTGTTTATAGATATGTATTTGTTGTCACTTTGTTGTTCATAATTTTTTTTCCCCCCTCTTCTTAAAGAATACCCTTCGGCATTTCATATAATACTGGTTTGGTGGTGATGAACTGTTTAGCTTTTTCTTATCTGTGGAGCTCTTTATCTGACCTTCAATTCTAAATGATAGCTTTGCTGGATAGAGTAATCTTGATTGTAGGTTTTTGCTATTCATCACTTTGAATATTTCTTGCCACTCCCTTCTGACCTGCATAGTTTCTTTTGAGAAATCACCTGACAATCATATGGGTATTCCTTTGTAGGTAACTGTTTTTCTCTTGCTGCTTTTAAGATTCTCTCCTTGTCTTTTGCCCTTGCCATTTTAATTATGATGTGTCTTGGTGTGGTCCTCTTTGGATTCCTTTTGTTTGGGGTTCCCTGCGCTTCCTGGACTTAATAAGTCTATTTCTTTCACCAGGTGAGGCAAGTTTTCTGTCATTATTTCTTCAACTAGGTTTTCAATATCTTGGTTTCTCTCTTCTTCTGGCACCCCCATAATTCAGATTTTGGTACACTTGAAGTTGTCCCAGAGGCTCCTTACACTACTTCATATTATTTGATTCTTTTTTCTTTTTGCTTTTCTGGTTGGGTGTTTTTTGCTTCTTTATATTTCAAATCTTTGTCTTGATGCTTGGGATCTTCTATTCTGCTGTTGGATCTCTGTATATTATTCTTTTTTAAAAAAATATATATTATTGATTTTTTTACAGAGAGGAAGGGAGAGGGTTAGAGTGCTAGAAACATCGATGAGAGAGAAACATCGACCAGCTGCCTCCTACACCCCCAACAAGGGATGTGCCCACAACCAATGTACATTCCCTTGACTGGAATCGAACAGACTGAAGCTCTATCCATTGAGCCAAACTGGTTTCAGCTATATATTATTCTTTATTTCAATCAGTGTATGCTTAATTTCTACTTGGTCCTTTTTCATATCCTGTGGGTCTCACTTAATTTCTCAGAGGTTTCTAGAAGATTCTTGAGTAATCTTATAACTGTGGTTTTGAACTCTATATCAAGTAGTTTGCTTTCCTCCATTTCTTTCATTTGTGACCTGTTTCTTTGTCTCCACATTTTGGCTGCTTCCCTGTGTTGAAAGAGTGGCTCTGTGTGCTAAGTGTCAAATAGGGCCCAGTGGCTCAGACTCACTAATTACCTGAGGTGGACATTTTTGGTGCACCCCTTTGTGGGCTGTGTGCACAGTCTTGTTGTAGTTAAGCCTTGATTGCTATTGTTATCACTGAGAGGAATTGACCTCCAGGCCAATTGGCTGTGAGGACCAATTGTGTCTACAGTGGGAAAACTTCTGTGCTGGAGACACCCATATGGGGTAGGACTTGCTTCAGTGGGCCTTTGGACTCACTGAATCTGCCCCCTGAGTGTCTCTCTTATTGATGTGAAGAGTTGTAATGTAGATGGTCTCACTCTGACCATTGGGTATACTGGCTCTTGGATCTCCAAGGAGGTGCAAAGTCAACCATTGCCTGAGGCCACCCAACAGGAGCTGCAGAGAGCTCTGCAGATTCCTCTGCTTTGTTTGGGGTTTGGAGGTGCCCAGATGAGGCCTACCTGTGAAGCAATGCAAGCTGCTGTGGAGCTTTGGGCTGCCTTTTGGAAGCTCCGGGGCTCTCTAACCTAGCTGCAGTTTGTTAGGTTTTAGATTGCAAAAAGCCAGGTCATTCATATGCAAAGTCTTTGCACACAGGGTGGGGTTGTAAATTGAGTGGGGCAGGGTCTCAAGGAATCACCAGGGTGGAGCACATAGGAATGGCTGCCCATCAGCCCTGCCCCAAAAAGATCCCGGGATATCTGTGACCCATGGCACCGTGCAGGATGGCACCGTGCAGAAACAATGATCACTGCAAGCACCTCTGAGAGAAAGCTGCCCTCGTGTATTGACCCGATGCCAGACAGTCCAGTTTCTCCCCGATGAGTCTGGGTCCTCAGAGTCTCGCCCAGAACTGGAGTTCAGAGCAGTCAGGAGCTTGTCTCTCCCTCCCAATTGAAAAAGACAGCAGTGTATCCAGTTGCCAGCCGGGTTCCGCACGCGCCTCCGAGCCTCCATACCTCCGCACCCCTGCACCTCTGCACCTCCTCCCAGTCTCATTGCGCTTTTCTCTTTCCTTTTAGGTGTATAACATCCACTCAGCCAGCCTTCCCGTGGTTCTGGATCGTATCCGTTTTGTCTTTTAGTTGTAGTTGTGATGTGGTTGTGTGAGGCAGCAAGTTCAGGTGTTTACCTATGCTTGGTTCCCCTAGCCGAGGCTCTCTCAGCCCAGAGGATTTTTCATCCCTATTTGAATTTAGATTTGGGGGCAAGATATTGTAGTGAAAGACCTAGAGACTTGCTGTGGAATTGCAAAAGGGATCATGGATAAAGCTAAGAATAGAACTTAGTACCTTATATTAATTCATTGTATGAGGTGTATAGTTCATGATCACACACACAAAAAAATTATTTTGTCTAAAAATTTATCTGTAAATTTTTGTAGTTCTGGGCTATATTTTGTATTTTTCATTAAAGGTTATATATTTATATGTATACATATATATGTATATATGAATATATATGCTTATCTAATGAATATGCTTACCCTAATTCACTGAAATATCTCTAAGCAAATATTTCTGAAATAAGTAGAATAGTAGTTCTCTCTCTCTTTTTTTTTTTTTTTTAAATATATTTTTATTGATTTTTTACAGAGAGGAAGGTAGAGAGATAGAGAACTAGAAACGTCGATAAGAGAGAAACACCAACCAGCTGCCTCTTGCACACCCCTACCGGGGATGTGCCCGCAACCAGTGTACATGCCCCTGACCTGAATCGAACCTGAGACCTTTCAGTCTGCAGACCAACGCTCTATCCACTGAGCCAAACTGGTTTCGGCAATAGTTCTCTTTTTTAAAATATATTTTTATTGATTTCAGAGAGGAAGGGAGATGAGGAGAGGGAGAGAGAAACGATGAGAGGGAATTGTTGATCAGCTGCCTCTTGCATGACCCCTCTTGAGGATAGAGCCATCAGCCTGGATATGTGCCCTGACTGGAAATTGAACCATGACCTCCTGGTTCATTGGTCGACACTCAACCACTGAGTCACATCATTGGTCTCTGCTTCTTTACATTCCTAAATATTATTAGGGACTCCAAAGCTTTTGTTTATGTGGGCAATATATTTTGGTATTTACTATATAAGAAATTAAAACTGAAAAAATTAAAAAATATGTATTCATTAATTCAAAATACTAAATCATTACATTTGAACATAATTAACTTTTTAAATGGAAAATAACTATTTTTCGTAAGCAAAAAAATTAGGACCAGTGGCACTGTTTTACATTTTTGCAAATCTCTTTAATATATGGCTTAATAAAAAAAACAATTGGATTCTCATCTGCTTTTGCATTCTATCTGTTAGAATATAACACATGAGGACTTTGGAAATTTTCACTGTACATTCATGAGAGAATGAGAATGAAAACGGCAAATTAATAGTATTATGAAAGCAGTTTTCACACTTTAAGAACTGCTGCTGCTCAATTATTTAATGATGAAGGAATATTGAGACAAAGAATTCAAATGAGGTCTCTGAATTTAAAGATCATTTTGACCTTTATTGGGGAAAAAGTAAAAATAAAATCTGACAGTCTTGGTCTGTACATAAATTTCCTTTGCAAAGTTATCGTTGTAAAGAAATGTATCACCACTGAAAAATTCCAGAACATTTTGGAAGTAAAAGTGCTCAATTTCGTTATTGTATACTTTTGATTTGCTGCTTTTCAAAGCCATACTACTGTAATTTTCAATTTTCTAATTTCCAGTAGAGGCTAATTATTTGACGAAATGGAATAAAAACTAATAGCTCAATTCTTTTTCTTCTAGCCCTTCCCCACAAGAAGATGGGCAAATTATGTTTGATGTGGAAATGCACACCAGCAGGGACCATAGCTCTCAGGTGTGTATGTGTGTTTGTGATCATTTATTTTTATGATTCACAATAAATAATTAGGGAAAATAAAAGCCTCTTCTAAGTATGTTGAGCTAAAATATATTAAAGAATAAGAAGACTTGCCCTAGTTGGTTTGGTGCAGTGGATAGAGCGTCAGCCTCCAGACTGAAGGATCCCGGGTTTGATTCCTATCCAGGGCACATGCCTGAGTTATGAGCTTGATCCCCAGAAGGCAAGAGGCAGCCAATCAGTGATTCTCTCTCATCATTGATGTTTCTATCTCTCCCCTCTCTCCCCATCTTCTCTGGGGGGAGGGGGGGGAGGATTAAAAAATATATATATATATATTTTTTAATCAATCTTTATTGTTCATATTATTACAAAGGTTCCTCATTTCTTCCCCCCTCCACCAGGTTCCCACCCCACCCTTCGCCCCCTCCCCATCCCCCATTGTCCTCATCCATAGGTGCACAGTTTATGTTCAGTCTCTTCTTCCCTCCCTTTCCCCGATAGTAAATCCCTTTTCAGATAGTAATTCAGTTACTTAGCATTTTCTCATATCAATAATACCTCCACATGCCCAATGATACACTTCACACAAAAGACATTTCCCAATAGGTCAACTAGCCTCATCCAGGCCCCACCCAAGGCACTCACAGATCAACACCCCAGCCCTATACTAACTCAACACATCCAGATCTAAGCCTTCATCACTTGATTCAGCAGACCCTCAAGTTCCCATGAAAGTTTTCAGCCATGTCTGAGAGGCAGCTGTGGGGCAGGGGCAGGCGAGGAGCGAGCTATTCCGGGGCTGGCTGCTCAGGGCCTGGCCTCTGTTGTTCTGGTTCGTTCCACAACCAGCTGCTCCAGGTCTGGTCACTGCCGCTCCCGACCTAGTTGCTATATATATATATATATATATATATATATATATATTATGAATATTTAAAAAAAAATAGTTTGGATCTGTTTTAAGTTACTCAGTTTCTGATTTTAGAATTCACTGAGGGTGATAAAGTCCTTGTTGTACTCCTAAAAATTTGGGGACATCACCCTAAAAGAATTGGAAAATTCTTGTCTATGATATATCATTTCAGTATTCCAGGCTACTTTCTGGAATCCTATATAATAAAGAGTTAATATGCAAATTGACCATCACTCCAACACACAAGATGGCCACCCCCATGTGGTCAAAGATGGTTGCCCCCATGTGGAAACAAGATGGCCAGCAGGGGAGGGCAGTTGGGGAGGACCAGGCTGGCAAGGGAGGGCAGTTAGGGGTCACCAGGTCAGCAGGGGAGGGCAGTTGGGGGCAACCAGGCTGGCAGGAGAGGGCAGTTATTTTGGGGCAATCAGGCCAGCATGGGAGCAGTTAGGCATCAATCAGGCTGGCAGGGGAGTGGTTAGGGGGTGATCAGGCTGGCAGATAGAAGCAGTTAGGGACAATCAGGCATGTGAGTGGTTGGGAGCCAGCAGTCCTGGATTGTGAGAGGGATTCCAGATTTGAGAGGAAGCAGACAGGGCTGAGGAACACACCCCTCACCCCCATGCATGAATTTCATGCACCAGGCCTCTAGTTTGTAAATAGAAAATGAAGACATATCTTATTTAAGGTCACAAAATACTGTGTCTGAAATGAAAGCAATGACTTTTGAGGTGAATTTCAACAGCTAGGAAAACATTGATCTGAATTACATTGGTTCCATATGTTAAAGAAGATAAATGCAGTTCAGTAGGAGCTGACATTGTTGGAAATATAGATGGATATAGTATTGGAAGCTTATAAAGGTTTATATTATAAAATTTATGATCTTATAAAAGAGTAATATGCAAATTAACCATCACTCCATCACAAAGATGACGGCATCCATAGCCACAAGATGGCAGCGCCCAGTCCTCCTAGCCCTGCCAGAGTCCCCCAGTTCCAGGGGGGCAGCCTCTGAGAACAGGCAGTGTGAGCAGCCTGGCGGAATGCTTGCTTCGTTGCCCGGCCATGGATGGGCCTCTGGCCAGGCCGGGGTGCGGATGGACCTCTGGGCTGCAGAGAGCCTTTGGGCAACAGGCGCAGGTGGCCAGGCCCCGCAGAGCGCTACTGGCATACAGATTCTTGCGCAGGCTACTAGTCTATAATAATAAAAGTGTTATATGCTGATTAGACATCCTTCCACACGACCTTCTGGACAGAGCTGGGGTGCGAGGGAAGCCTAGGTCCTGGTGCCTGCCAGAGGCTGGAACGAAGCCCAGGTCCTGAGTGCATGCTGGCAGCCGGAAGGAAGCCCGCGTCCCGGGTGCCAGAGGGAAGCCCTTGTTCTGGGTGCAGAGGGAAGCCAGTGCCGGCAGCCGGGGGAAGGAAGGCCTACTCTTGCACAAATTTTGTGCATCAGGCCTCTAGTAAGTAAATAATTGTTAGTGATTTAAAATGTCCATAGCCAACCCTTAACTTTATTGATAATTCAGGTCACCTAAAAGTGTCAGAGTGTAAATTTTTGAGGACAGGAATCATTGTCCTTTTCTCTTGTGTTAAGGTGTCTGAAGAATATATGTTAAATGAATGTTTAAATAAATTCTAATAAAAACTTTGCTTTGTGGGGTTCTCACCATACAGTGTCTTAAACCGTTGCACTGGAAATATGTGCATGCTGTCTGGGATCCACTTAGCATTCTTTATTAAAGAAGGCTGCACAATTTCTTCCTACCTTGACTATGCTCTATTTGTGTTGTTCTCTGAAACCTAGGAAATCTCTGGAATTGGTTATGAATTTATTTTATGATGAACTCTATTCTGCAGAGAAGCTTATGTAGAAGCAAGGCTCTCAAATAGGAAAATGTCTGATTGGACTTGTTAAATTGCTGGCTTTTTTATGTCCGTTGGCCATAGTCACTGAACTATAACAATGAAGAGGAAAGTCTATGAAGTTTCCATGCAGACATGTGCTAAGAAATCCCAAGATAGAGAAATGAAGTTAATTCTTTGCTGTAGTCTGACTCGAGAAAAATGTCCTCAATTCATGATGTCTTTTGTATAGATATATTGAAAACTAGCCTTTTCCAAATGCGATTTGAGGAACATTTGCTCATGGTAGTTCTGAAGTCAAATAAGGGGAAAATAATGCAAACCTGGGCTTCCTCACCCTTCCACACCATTAGTCATAGCAGGTGGTAACATTAAAGGCTCTGACAGTTCCTGCAATAAAGAAATCCGTATTTCCCAATTATTTATTTGACTTTAGATCTCCCTCACCTTCCACATACACCTTTTTTCCTCTAATAATCCACCTAACAACCTAATGGAACACTGATAAGTGCTCTCTTGCCTAGTTCATGGAGTAGCTGGTGAACAATTAGGCTTAACTAACAATTGAATTTAAGTGGACGTGTAGAGTTGAAAAAGTAAGACTTTTGGCCTCTGTGTCAGGTTATCATAGCATTGCTAATGTGATTCCTATTTAGAAACAAGTACCTAAAAGAACTTTGGTTCTCATCAAGCCCTTGGTAAGCGATATTACTAATCAGATCAGTCCGTTTAAACAGGGTTCCGTGCTTGGAAAAACAGTCTGACTTCTATATTATATCTTTTAGAGGGAGACTTTTAGTGAGGGAAATATCAGTGGCACCATTTATTTTAACTTTCAAAAGGCCATTTAAACTGTTTCTTTTAAATTTTATTTCAGAGAAGAAGGGAGAGAGAAACATCAATGATGAGAAAGAATCATTGATTGTCTCTTGCATGCCTCCACTGGAGATCAACAGGTGCATGTGCCCTGACAGGATTTTTACCGTGATTCATAGGTCGATTCTCAACCACTGAGCCATACCAGCTAGGCTAAAGTTTTTTGTTTTTTTAATTACAGAAATGATAATTTAAAATTAATCACTTTAGGGCTTGGGGGGGGTGGATTTTTTTTCATGAATGAGAAGCAAGTTTAGTAAATATTTTTATGTGTCTATATGAGGAATATGATATTTTTAGCCTTTTCTAGGAGGGGGAAGGAAAGGTATATTAAATATATTATTGGTGCTAAATTTATTTTACAAAAATGTTCCCACATTTATTGTTTTCAGTTCAGTGAAAGAGGTGCTATTATATCCACGAACGAATGGGAAAGGTGAGGCTTTGTCTTAATGAAGCTGCTTATCTAAGATTACGAAGCAAGTAGGTGATAGAGCCAGATTGAAACCAGGGCTGTCTGAGCCTGTGACCCCTGTTCCTCCTTCTACAATAAGTCAGTGAATGGGATTGATTTCAGGAGAGCGCACAAGGTCTTGAGAAAGAACTAAAACATGTCTGTCCGGTGACCTACAGTATGAGGAAGCCCAAGGTGTAATGTGTTTAGGCAAAAGGTCATTCAAACTATATTTTTAGGATGATAGTCCTTAAGAGTCTCAGTTTTGTAGCAGAAAAGGGACGATAGATTGTCTTTTGAAGGCATTTTTACAGTGTGTTTCTGGAACTAAAGAGGCCTACTCAGTGTTGGGTATCTTTGGAATATGATAGAAACTGAAATTGTCCTCCCTTTTCCCTTTTGTAAACTGGTTTACTTGAACATGGACCCCACCGTATGCAGTTTACTATCCATGCTTAGAGACCTAAAAACTTGAGGAGAGCCAGAGAAGTGTAAGTGAATAAAAGGGAAGGGCCTTCCACCTGAGGACTGGCCAAACTGATCCTAATCTGCTACCTGAGTAGGTGTAGAGAGAGTGTTATTGATTCAGTCGAAAGCATGACTTTTATTTAATTAGAATAAATGCATTTTTACCATATTCTGGAATTCTCAGAGTTGGAAGACAAGTTAAAACCTAAAACTGGAAAATTTAAGATGAATAGAAAGAAGCACAGGACGGGTATTGAGGAGAGCTAGAGAGCTTATTTATGGTCCCGATTTTAAACTCACCTGAGAGAAAAGTATACCTTTAAAAAAAAAAAAAAAATAGAACAAGCCAAAACCTGTTTGGCTCAGTGGATAGAACGTCGATCTGAGGACTGAAGGGTCCCAGGTTCGATTCCGGTCAAGGGCTTGTACATGGGTTGCAGGTACATCCCTGGTTGAGGGTGTGCAGGAGGCAGCTGGTGGACATTTCTCTCACATCGATGTTTCTAGCTCTCTATCCCTCTTCCTTCTAATAAAATATATTAAAAATAAAAAACAAAAAGTAGAACAAAACACTTTATTACGCTTTCATTCTCCTGGAAAGGATGAAATACTACCTCGTTCCCAAATTTAAGCCTAAAACCTTTGAGCAGTTTTGGAGAGAGATATGTGAGGTCAAAGTTGGAAAAACATGCAGTGTGTTGAATATAGTCAGACATTGTGTGTACATGATCTATAAATCTAAAAACTTGAGGAGAGCCAGAGAAGTGTAAGTGAATAAAAGGGAAGGATCTATAAATAAATTGTAACAATTTATGGTTTTTTTATTTGGGATTTTTTAGATTTACTCTTAAGAGCCAACTCATGATTCTGAGTAATTTCAATACCCAGTGGAAAAGCTTAGTCCTACAGGCTACATTGTGTCATCCCATGGAATTTGCCAAGTCTGGCGAAACAAAATAAGAATGATACTACAGAGGAGCAAAGGGGATTTCTGGTTTGATAATGAAAGGGACTATCTGTATCTAGAGAGTATCTGAAGCTACCTTCCCCAGGCAGCTATTCCACAGAGAACCTGTCAGAAAGAATCACAGAGATATGTCAAGTTCTGCATTGCATAACTGCTGACCAATAAGAATGAAAGCTTTAGTCAAAGCTTTAAACAAAATAGCAAATCAAAAACAATTCTTAACTTTGAGATCCTTTTGTTTGAGGTCATAGCATCACATTCCCTAAAAATGAACAAATAATGCTGTGTCATTTTTAGGAATGTCTCATTCCTGTGGGTTCTGTTGAAAGAAGCTTTTGGAAAATTTTGATTGCTCTTGGCCAGAAAAATTTAAGTTATTATTAAAGAGAAAACAGTTTCCTTTTTAATTTTTTATATAAAAGATGGCAAACTCTGACTCAGTATAAAATAACGTATTCCAGAAAACATTTGGCTTAAGTAGTATTGAATAAACCTGGATAAATGTTTGGATAGTGATTTGTCTAGAAAAATAAAATCTTCCAGGGAGTGAAATCTAATGCTGAGGAGTTGAGGCTCTAGAAACATTTTGCCTGTGTCTGGATTCTGGCCCTGTTGCTGACTGCTTAGGAACCTCAGGCAGTTACTGAATTTATATCTCAGTTTCCTCACCTATAAACATGGAATATTAATAGTTTCTATTTTTATAGGTTGTTGCAAGGTAAAAGTTAATTCATGGAAAGTGCTTAGAATCACATCTCTCTCTGTATGCTTAATATATACTATTATTTGTTTCTTCATCAGGTCTCCAAGTATTTACTTTCTTATTCACTTAATATTTGTTAACATGTACTTTTTTATGTGTTCCTTTTTATTTTTAATTATGAAAAGTTTTAATCACATACAAAAGTAAAATGGATATTACATTGCACCTTCATATAAGCATCACCCAGATTCAATAATTATTAACATTTTCCACACTTTATTTTTTAAAAATATATTTTATTGATTTTGTACAGAAAGGAAGGGAGAGAGATAGAGAGTCAGAAACATCAATGAGAGAGAGTCATCGATCAGCTGCCTCTTGCACACCCCCCACCAGGGATATGCCTGCAACCAAGGTACATGCCCTTGACCGGAATCGAACCCGGGACCTTTCAGTCCCCAAGCCGACGCTCTATCCATTGAACCAAACCGGATTCGGCATTTTCCACACTTTAGATTGCATATCCTCAAATACGCTTTTTTCAGTTTCACTTTTTTTTTATTTATTTATTGAGGCTTAATTGATGTTTCAGGTTCATGTTTTATGCTTAGATATAAAAACAGTGAAACACTGTTTTTTTAAAAAAATTTTTAAAGACATTAAATACTCTGGTCTTCTATTATTTTGTCAGCCATTTTAGAAAAATGGCATGTTTCTGACATAAAAAGACTGATGTACAGCCTTATGATTTTCTGTCTAGATTTATCTTTCCTTGTTGGAAGAACAGGTCTCTCTATTTGTCTTTTTAAAGTTTGAATTCTCCTTTACAGTCAGAAGAAGAAGTTGTAGAAGGAGAGAGAGAAGTGGATGCTTTGAAGAAAAGTGTAGACTGGGTGTCCGACTGGTCCAGTCGGCCTGAAAACATCCCCCCAAAGTAAGTTCTCACATGTTTTCAGTGGATTCGGTGCCCGTAAATGCAGTGGCCCTGCTAGTCCCCAAGGTACCTTCAGCAAATGCATTTCTGATCCCTACTTCTGCGTTTCTTCCCCAGGGAGTTCCACTTCAGGCACCCTAAACGCTCTGTTTCTTTAAGCATGAGGAAAAGCGGAGCCATGAAGAAGGGGGGCATTTTCTCTGCGGAATTTCTTAAGGTGTTCATTCCATCTCTCTTCCTTTCTCATGTTTTGGCTTTGGGGCTAGGGTAAGTACTGGTCAATTCATACAGTTTGAAGTTTTGTTTTGTTTTTCCCTGCTCATTTTATCCTCATATTTTATTTCCAGATGAAAGAAATACATGTGAAAGTGGTTTGTATTGTTTTGCTTTTAAAGTTTTAGTGCAAATAGGGTATGAGTTTAAAAGAATTACTAAGGTTGATATACTTATAGGCATTTTTAATAGTAGATTTTTTTTCTTATTTGAAAAATAGGTGTTCATATTAGTTTCCAAAGTGATCATTTTAAATATATATATTTGTATTAATTTTAGGGAGGAAGGAAGAGAGAAGGAGAGATAGAAACATCAATTATAAGAGTGAATCATTGATCACCTGTCTCCTGCATGCCCCACACTGGGATCGAGCCCACAACCCTGGCACATGCCTTTGACTGGAATTGAACCTGAGGCTTTTCAGTCTGTCGTCTGACACTATATCCATTGAGCCAAACTGGCTAGGGCCAAAGTGATCATTTTGAGTGGTCTTATCTATGACTGATTTTTTTCTTTTTTGGGTTTTGTTGTTGCTTATAAATTGTTCAAGATGATTTAAATCTTAAACTAATCTTCAGTGTGTAAATTTGGGGGCTGATGGGAACTTTTTTCATCCCAGCTGGGACGCTACACCATTTTATTGCATAGTCCTTGAGTGAAACTGGTAAGTTGTTTGAGGATACCGTTGTTGTTTTTTCTCTTTGTAGCATTTTTATTCTTCTAAAATTAATCCCACATTTACCTGTAATTAATTAATTTCCCAGGCATGTCTTTTAAATTCTTTTTTTTCTTGATTTGAATAATTGAAGAAATAGATTTTTGAAAGGCTTTAGGAGTTAAACACTCGCTGTTAATTATATTCCAAGACATACCTGTTATTCTCTTAAAGCCTGTCCAGTGGGTCACTTTCTCTTTATAATAATCAAAAGGCACATCATCCCTTAGCTCCCCTTCAAGGAGCTCAGCATACTGGAGACGTGACCATGGAAACGTGCATGGCTTTCCCACACACCCTTTTGTTTTTCTGTGTGCATGGTCTGCTTTTGAGGTCAATGATCACATCAGAGCAGGAAGGTGTTTGTGGGAGAAGGGAGTGTATGAATGTTGTATGGGATTGGTGTAGGGCAGGGGTTGAGTTGAAATTCTCCCACAGTATTGACTGCACAGTAGTTCATTTGCCTTTAAAAGGCTAGTTTTTTGTTTTTTAATTTTTTAATATATTTTATTGATTTTTGTACAGAGTGGAAGGGAGAGAGATAGAGAGTTTGAAACATCAATGAGAGAGAGTCATCAATCAGCTGCCTCTTGCACACCCCCTACTGGGGATGTGCCCGCAACCAAGGTACATGCCCTTGACCGGAATCGAACCGGGGGGGCCCTTCAGTCCCCAAGCCGATGCTCTATCCATTGAGCCAAACTGGTCCTGGCAAAAGGCTAGTTTTTGTACCTTGTAGTATCTTTCTCTTCCTTTCATGAACCCAGACTCTCCTGCTGGCCTAAGTGTAACTATTGTTATAGGTGAATATAGAAAAAAGGATTTTAAGTAGTTGGCTGGTTTTATTACACTGTGTCCGGGGAAGGAAGGGAGGCATTATTCCATATTTTCTTTAACTTCCCTTCTGCTTATGTTATTTAAGAGTAAAAATACTTGCTCTGCATAGAAAAATAATATTAGGCTCTTAATCCTTAAGAGTTAAGCTGTTAGTAAGAACCCTCTTAAAGCACTGGCAGCTTTGTAATTAATATATTACTATATTGTGTATCTGAAATGTTAATCTACAAAAAAAGTGGGATTTTTTGACTCCAAGAAGGAGTAATCGAAAGGGGTTTGGCTCTGCTTTGCTCTGTGACGGGCCTGTTCCCTGCAGCTCTCCCTTGTCTGATCACTGCCCCTGTGCTGACCAGGCCTGCCTAATGAGTTAAAATGTAATCATTCTAAACCAGTTTGGCTGGCTGGTGACTAGTTTTAGAAAGTCAGTGAGCATTTCAGGGAGGGTGCTAGGAAGCTGGGCACTTGGACTTTTTGAGCCTTTTGTAAGGACTGAAAGGTTGGTGGTTACTTGAGTTGAGCCATGGAGGCGCTGGTGCAGAGCTGCACAGCCGTGAACATGTGCGCTTGTTTCCTTTCAGCATCTACATTGGAAAGCGACTGAGCACATCTTCTGCCAGCACCTACTGACGGCCAGAAGCTCGGAACACGTGCGCCCTGTGAAGTGGTGTATTGTCACAGTAGTTTATTTGAACTTGAGACCATTGTAAGCATGACCCAACCTACAGTCCTATTTTTACATATCCAAGCTCCAGTAACTCTCAAATCCAGTATTTTATTCAAACTCTGTTGAGGCATTTTACTAACCTCATTCTCTTTGGGCCTGTAAGACTTAGAATTTCCTAACAGAGTTTACTGTTGTTTAGAAATTTGCAAGGGCTTCTTTTCCGCAAATGCCACCAGCAGATAATAATTTTGTCAATAATGCTATTGTCTCCTTTTAGTGCCACCAGGCTTAGACCAGAATCACTCATGGTATAAATTTTACTCTCTCCAGATGACTACCATCTCGCTCATAAAACAAGATAAGATTAGCAAATGGCGTAAAAGCTTTGTTGTTTTGTTTTTCAAGACAAAGGCAAGCTTCCCTAAGCTTGAGTTTATAGTTATTAAAAAATAAAGCAAGAAAAAAAAATACAAGACACAAGAGAAAAAAAAAATCCTGGGCAATAAAAATTTATTTTAAACCAGCTTTGTCTAAGCCTCCTGATGGCACCTTTTAATTTATAGGAGGTGGTCTCTATAAATGATGGGTGTGAAATAGAATAAGAACTAAAATACATCAGCAGGTTTTAATATTAGTAGGTTGTGATGCTGTCTTTTCTATGGTGTAGAATCTTTATTTCTGATAAGGAATGTCTCAGGCCTAGAAATATGAAATTGCTTTTGGGATTTGTGTGTGTGTTTTGGGTATTTTTGTGTTTATTAGCTGCATGTGAATTTTTCGTGACTTTCTTTAAATTAAAAAAAAAAAGTTTTTGTTTTTTTTTCTAAGAAGAGGCTTTGGAATGAGGTATAAATACAGGCATATTGTTTCAGGAACCATCACTAACACTTGGAAGCCTTTAAATTCCACAGGTAATTGTTTCCGAGTTATTCCAAGCACTTATGCAGCTTTGAAAACCGACTGGGTTTGTGGGAACATTTGACACAGTTCTGAAAAGATGCCATTTGTTTTTTCTGACCTCTCCTTTTTAATGTTTACTGTATAATCTTCCCACGGTGATTCCTGCGATCCTGCAGGCACTGGTCATTCTCTCTTGTAGCCATCTTTTCAGATACATTAAACTCCTCACGTTCCAGAACTCTCAACAACTTCCTTCAACGACATACTTTTTGTGTGTGTGTTTGTTTCTAAAATGTGAAGCTTTAGGACCAAATTGTTAGAAAGTATCAGGATTACCAATTATTTCAAGTAGATTTATTGGGTTTCAAAACACAGCATGACTCTGAAGGATACTATTATATGTTTTATATATAAATAATTACTGTTTATGATATAGACATTACTATTGAATATTTAGAGACCATTGTTAATTTTAAAACTAGCAATTTACTCATTAAATAAAGTACATCAGGTTGACTTGAATAAAAACACTTTGACAACCAGGTTTGCCAGTTTGCAGAAACTAACTCTCACATCAAGTTTTTAAAAATTTACGTGTTATAGTGGAAAATAACATACCGAGTAAGAAAAAAGTAATTTCTGGTTATCTTTTTTTTGAGGAATATAGCTAGCTATCTTTAAGAAAAGGATGATATATACAAAATAGTTTTCTGAATTATTTTTACTTTATGTTTCTTTCTAGCAACGGATGCTAAATAATTTTGGGCATCTTTTTATTATACCTTGTTTCTACTTATTCTTAAACCTGGTAACACTTGATTTGTCTTCTGTAACCTATTTATTTCAAGTGTTCATATTTAAATTTCTTTGGGAAGAACAAAAATCTGATGATCCACTGATTTTGAAAAGTCTGAATAAAATTGGAAAAGCTGGTAAAGTTAAGAGAACTAAATAATTAAACTGCTATAACGTGCTATTTGGTATTATAAGAAGTAAAAGTAAAATCCTTCTTAAAATAAGACCAACTTTTTACAGGCACTGCATTGCTCTCTTTTGAAATTCAGTAATAATTCTACCAGTATGATAGAACTTGGGTAGATTAATGATATTTTTTCAACATTGAAAATAAATTTAGTTTTGCTCTTTTTCTTAAAAATACCAGTGAAATTTTGTCCTGTTTTTTGTCCTACATGGTCACAGTAGAACTTCTGTAAGATGAAATCATGCAGTGTTTATTGGTAGCACTAGCTTATGGGACAGATATTTATGCTCCTCCCCAGATTTGTGTTAAACAGAAACAGATTATGTGATTGGAACGGAGAATCCAATAATTAACTGTTGGCATTTTAAGAGTAATGTTTAAAAAGCTTTACACCTGTTTACAATTTGGAGATAAAAAGGCAGGCCTGGTTTTTCTACTGTGTGATGAAAACTGGCTTAAAATATTTGCAGATATTTTAAGAGTCGGGTAAAACTGTACAAACTTGCACATTGAAAAGTGCAACAAGTTACTTTTATTGCAGTACAAATATTTACTGTTCTAAAAATTGAAGACTTAGGCAGATGAATTTTTAAGTGAACCAGTTGTTGAAATTATTGGAATTAACTGAGCCAAAGTGATTCTGCATTCTTCATCTATTTAGTTAGCACTTTGTATCATTATATACAGTTTACAATACATGTATAACTTGTAGCTATAATCATTTGTGCCATTAAAGCTCTCACAAAACTCTGTTTGTATATCATTTTCTGTCATGTGTGTGCCTGGGAGTTTAGAGGAGATGAGAACATTTATACATTGAGTTCCTCACGTCTTGGAGTGCCTGCCAGTGTGCAGGCAGGCACTGTGGGCGGGAAGGCACTCCTGCCCTTGGAGTGGAGGGGCACCACACAGGGTCGTTGTTGCAGAAAGGGCGTGAAGTGCGACGTGACGGTGGCATTTAGAGCTCTTATTCGCCAAGGGACTCGGGACCTTATTCGTACAGGAAGTGACATATTGAAAGACAAGTAAGTGCCCAACAGGTGCAGAAGGGAATTAAGAGCATAGTGTGCCTGCGAAGGGAATTGCAGGACCTGGCATGTGAAAATATTACATTCGAGAAATAGCATGAAGTTCAGTGTGGCTGGAAAACTGTGTGGAGAGGAAACAAAGTGTAATTTAATGTTGAATCAAGTTGAAATGTATGTGGCCTCTGAGGTTGAACTTAATTGTGTGTAGTCAGTAAAATGCCTCTGAGGGGCTTTTATTTTTAATGCATATATTTTATTAATTTTTTTACAGAGAGGAAGGGACAGGGAGTTAGAAATAACAATGAGAGAGAAACACCTATTAGCCACCTTCTGCCCCCCTCCCCCCTCATTGAGGATATGCCCACAACCAAGGTATTTGGCCCTTGATCAGAATCGAACCTGGGACCCCCCCCCCCCTCCCCCGTCGGCAGGCCAACTCTATCCACTGGGCCAAACCAGTTAGGGCCTGAGAGGTTTTCTTAAGCAGAGAAATGGTTGAAGACTTAAGTTTTTTAGACAGTTATGAAAGAGCGAAGTAAAGTGCCAGAGGCAAGATCCTTCCATTCTGTAGGTAAAGGAGAAGGGACTGTGACCTGGGGGGGAGGGGTCGGGGGGAGGGGCAGGGCGGGGCTGTAGGTATGAGACACAAAGCTAAGGGCAGTGGTGGGAAAATGTTTAAAGGAAGCAGGCTTGTGTGCCCTTTTTATGGTGGTGGGGGTTAGAGGAGAAGCTGAGAAAGTGAGGACAGGAGAAGGAATAGAGTGATAAGAAGAGAGAAAGTTTGTATTTTGAATACATTGAACTGGTCTGAACAGAACCACTTCTTGATTAGAACTAGAACTTGGGAGAAAGGTCTGGAGTGGAAATGAAATGCTGAGACATGCATATATATTATGCATATATATTTAAAGATTTAAACATGAGGAAAGAAGAAAGGAGTTCACATAGCAGTGAAGTGTTCACCATTTGAAGACAGAGCAGAGAAGCAAAAAACAGTATTTTAGGAGAATTCCCCAAAGAGGAGGCAGTCACTCCGGTCAAAGTAAGTAGTTAAGGGAAGTTTTTTAACTTGACAATCACTGCCTATCTTTACAAGAGCATCTTCTGTAGGAGCAAAGAGGGGACCTAGAGAAGAGTGTCATTAGGTTAATGAATGAGTAGCAAGTGAGCAAGGGTTGGCTTTTCTTAGTACAGAGACAAAGGGAGGGGGGATTTTGAAGAGAGATGGTAGGGTCATCTGCTTAGGCTGGGATGAGAGGAAGGAGTGTTTGGAGATTGAGGAGAGCATGCAAAGGAAATGTTGAAGGTGTGCAGGAACAGATAAGTAATGGAATGAGATTCTGGCAGGAGTAGAGTGTATTATGGACTTGGTGGGGACATTCATCTTGGAAAGGGGGAGAGGGCCTTTTTGGAGTCATTAAAAGTTAACAAAACCCAAAGATTTACGGTAGGAATCGAAGCATCTAGAGTTTCTCCGTTTTTCTGAAATAATTCTGAAGTGTCAGCTTATATCCTGAAAATCACAGCTTCTAACTTCTACAATAATTAATATTCTTGAAAATACTTGTCAGCCGTTCTCACAGTAGATCTGGAAGGTAATGGAATCAGATGAAACACGGGCAGTGTTGTCAGCATGCATGTCCTTTTACATTTGGCAGCACTGATACCCCTGTGTAAAGACAGATTTAAGCTTTAAGCGCTCCATCGCTAACTTCAGCATCACCAATAAATCTGCAAAAGAAAATCCATACACTCCAGCCATTTCTGATGCTAATTTTTATATTTGAGTTTATAAACACTGTAATGTTCCTGCCAAAGAATCCATATTTTGGGGGGTGTAATTCGAGGTCAGAATAGCATGAAAAAACTCAGTATCGGTGGTTTCTTAAACACTGTTGTATTAGCCATGTAATTTAATAAATCCTGTTTTAGATGAGGAGCAAGGTGGGAGCACTTGGCATGGACCAGACGTTGACTTTTGCCCTCTCACATTCTTTAGTCCTCACAGCAATTCATCTGAGGTAGTTGCTTTGTCCATTTGACAGAGAGAAAA